TTGACTTACCGTGTGACATATTAGCATGATTTAGAGGAAGAGCCATGCAAAAAGGTACACTTGAGGTGTCAGCCCATCCCTACCATTCTATTTCCATTCTCCCATTCTTTTCACCCGACTTACTCTGAACATAACACATTTATTCATTTCTGGTTTATTCTTTCTGTAATTCTTATTGTATATGTATGTTTTCTTATATCCCTTTATTTCTCACATAAAGGATATCAGACACACATACTCTTTTGTCCATGGCTTTTTTCACTTAGTATATCCTGGAAATCATTCTATATCAGTTTATAGAGATTTTCCTCATTCTTTTCTTTTGATAGCTGCATAATGCTCTGTTGTATGGATGTACTGTTAAAAAACAAAATTCAACTGAGTAAAATTTAAAGATCTTATTGGCTTTATTCAATGATTATGAATCAGGCAGCACCCAATTTTCTAACAGATAGAAAGGAGCTCTGAGGAGCTGTACAAAGTGAAAGACTTTTATAGACAGAAGGGAGCAGGAACAAGGCACTTATACTAGACAAAAAAGCAAATAAATTGTTATGGCAAGGTCACTTTTCTTTAGGGGTTAGTGGGGTCTATTTGGCAGATTACCTAACAAGTGCAGATTAGGCAATTCCTGACTGACTGATTTAAGATTCCATTTCTGAGAGGGCTGAAACTAAGTCTTGGTGTGGTGACATGGGGTTTAGCATAAGTGGCTCCATTTCAGGCCTGCTGTCTTGTTTCCAACAGTACCATAGTTTATTCAACCACTCTCCCATATACATGAATAACCTCAGGCATATATATTTTTACATTGTTAGAGATATATCTTCAGGATAATTTCTAGAAGTGAGATTACTGGATCAAATGGTAAGTACATATGTAGTTATGTTAGGTATTGTCAAAGTTCCTTCCAAAATGGTGTATTGTCACCAGCAAAACTTGAGTGCCTGTTTCTTCAAAGCCTCGCCCAAAGAATGCATTGCATGTTTTTTAATTTTTGCCAATCTGACAGGTATTTAACTTGCATTTCTTTAACTTTGAGTGAATTTGACCATCTTTCTGATATATATCTTTTAAGGGTCATTTTTATATCTTTTTTAGTGAATTATCTGTTCCTGCCTTTTTACTATTTTCTCAACCTTGGGGCTTTTAAATGTCTCTCATTTTAGAGTCTTCTTTAAATACTCAATGTAGGGGCACCTGGGTAGCTCAGTCGGTTGGGCAGCCAACTCTTGATTTCCACTCAGGTCATGATCCTGGGGTCCTCTGTTCAAGCCCCACACCGGGCTCCCTGCTCAGCTGGGAGTCGGCTTGAGGATTCTTTTTCTCTCCCTTTGCCCCTCCCACTGCTCATGTACTCTTTCTCTCTATATATAAAATAAATAAATAAGCTTTAAAAAAATAAAATAAATAAATAATTGTACTCAGAGTACAAATTTTGTACTCTGAGATACTTATAATCATTTTGTTAAAACTTTAAAAATGTGTGGTGTATGCATACTATACCCACTAATGGGAAGGGAAATACCTAGAGCTACTTTTTTTTTTTTTTTAAAGATTTTGTTTATTTATTTGACAGAGATAGAGAGCACAAGTAGGCAGAGCGGCAAGCAGAGGGCAAGGAAGAAGCAGACTCCCCACTGAGCAGGGAGCCTGACGGGGGGCTCGATTCCAGGACCCTGGGATCATGACCTGAGCCAAAGGCAGACGCTTAACCAACTGAGCCACCCGAGTGCCTCCTAGAGCTACTTTCTGATAGTGATGATGTTCAACAGAAACAAATAGTTAAGGGAACATTTTTAAGCTTTTCCTGCTTTCTAAAAAAAAATTTAAACTAGTTTGTCCTCATCCAAAATAACTGAGCATTTATTTCATGAGACTCTTTGCCAAGATTCAGGGGACCGTCTGTGAGTGTGGACCTGGATGATTTATAATTAGCTATGGTGAAGCCTGGGCAGATTTAGACATGTTTGAACCATTCCTGCATGATACACTTTCAGTTGTGCAGAGAAATATCAAAGACATTACCCTGCTTTTAAAATTATTCCTGGTCTCCTATACTGTGCTCTCTTCTTGTTCAAGAGACCTAGCAAACTAGCTAAGTGTTAACTAAGCCATGTAAAGAAACCAGCTTATTCGAGAAATAGAAAAGTGTAAAATGATATGGAACAACTGAGGTACTTTGCCTGTTTTTGGACCTGCTCTCTCTATGCAGAAAATCATATAAAAAAGGCAAATAGTATGACAATGCCTGAGGATCTCAAGGCACTGTATTTTCAACTTTAGCGTGTGTGTGTGTGTGTGTGTGTGTGCACGCACTTTTCAAAACATGTCCTGAATTCTGAAGTGGAAATGTATTACATCCCAGTGCCCAGCACACTGTAAGGAAATCAAGCGTATTTTAAGGACTTAATTCAATGAGGCAATACCTTTATGAGCGTAACATTGAGCTTGTTGCTAAAAGAATAAATATGAAAAGAGGGTTCCAGGTCTCAAGGAGATCACAACAAACTAGTGGCAATGCCACACGGTACTAAGTGCTGTGATGGAGTGGGAGTCCAAAGCTAAGAGGCAAAGGGAAGAAATGGCTGTGGAATGAGCCTGAAGAGGATTTGAATTCCACAATTTGCTTAAACTCTGAGTGTCCATTTCTTTATCAACTTAATAAAGATAATAGTTTCTACTTGGCTGGGCTATTGTAAGATTAAGTGGACAATGTGAGTCTAGCACAATGTCTGACATAGAGTGGAATCTCAGTGACTATTAGCTGATATTATTGCCAACAAAAGTATATGGAATTCATCAGATTTCCTTGCTACACTTTTGTACGTGATAGCCACTCTCCCTTATATTTATCTGATTCCTTATTGCTCATTAAACTCACCCCCAGACTATATCTCATTTAACACTCTCAATAGGGCATCTGGGTGGCTCAGTCGGTTAAGCATCTGCCTTCGGCTCAGGTCATGATCCCAGGGTCCTGGGATCAAGCCCCAAGTCGGACTCCCTGCTCAGCGGAGGGTCTGCTTCTCCCTCTCCCTCTGTCTGCCGCTCTGCCTGCTTGTGTTCTCTCTCTTTGTCAAATAAATAAAATCTAAAAAAAAAAAAATCCACTCTCAAAAAACATGTGAGATGGTTAGGTCAGAAACCACTTTCATGTTACAGACTAATAATCGGAAACTTAAATGACTGGACTGGTAAGTGACTAGTCCAAGATCACAGAGTTTAAGAAACCAGGATTTGAGCAAAGATACTCTCACTCCAAATCTCATCCACATTCTATGACCCCACCTTGCCTCTCCTGATAGAAATTAGGGTTAACCTCACAAAACAGATTTCATAGTACACTTTATTGAGACATACTAGCAGGACTTGCCCCAAAATATGCCAAAGGGCCTCCAAGCCAGCACTGAGAGGGGGACACGGGCCCCAGGTAAATTTGAAGTGAGGAACTTGGATACAAAAAGAGTGGAGAGGACTGCTATGATATTGTGGTTTATAATAAGAAATATATGTATGGTTTTCATCCCTGTTCATGGCACAGAACTTCTAAAATCTTTGGAATCTCTTAACTGATAAGAGCGATAAAGGTGTTCTTTTATTTATACCAAGCCCCTCTCAACTACCGAGGAGTTTATCCTAAAGAAGTGATTTTTGGAAAGCCCTTGAGGATGGGGCTGGTTGCCAGGGGAACCAACCTTGTGATTAGAGGGTTGGAACTTTCAACCCCACCTCCCAGACTTCCAGGAAGGCCAGAGGAGGGCTGAAGATTGAATTCAGTTACCAATGGCCAATGGTTTAATCAATGATGCCTAATGCAATAAAGCCCCAAAAGGATGGGGTTCAGGGACCTTTTGTGTTAGGGAGCCAGCAGGGTGGCAACCCCAAATTCCACATGTTCTGAACTTATGTATCTCATCATCTGTTCATTTGAATCCTTTAATTTCCTTTGTAAAATAGCAATAACCTAGTAAGTAAACTGTTAAACTGTTTTCTGGAGTTCTATGAGTCACTCTAATTAATCGAACCCAAGGAGGGATCATGGGAACCTTCAGTCTATAGCTGGTAAGTCAGAAGCACAGGTGACAACCTGGGCTTGTAATTGCCATCCACAGTGGAGAAGTAGGAGCAATCTCATGGGACTGAGCCCTTAACCTGTGGGATCTGAAGTTATCTCCTATAGACAAGGGTCAGAATTGAGTTGGATTGTAGGACACTCCAGCTGGTATTGCAGGATTGCTTGGGTGGGAAAAACTACCACCTATTTGGTGAGCAGAAGTGAAGTAGACTATTTTGTGGGTAAACAGAAAACAGGGGAGGTTTTTTGTTTTTGTTTTTGTTTTACAACTGCTAATCAGAAATAAATCCAAAACAAAAGGAACTTATAAAAGGAGCAAGAGGGGAAAGGTGTGTGTGTGCACACAAGCTCAGGATGGTGCAATTTTAAAGAAGCCTGTTTTCTGCAATTCACTACCGCTGACAACTATAACAAGTTGGTCATTCGTTCCCCCGTCTTGTGTGGATACTAGGTACCTGTCTAAAAACAGTACCAATAACCCGGTTTTGCTCCCTTACTTCAAGAGAAGCCATTGTTCCTTTGACCAGTTCAGTGAATTCCCTCCCCCAGGAACCTCTGTCTTGGGAGGAGTAGAGACAGAAATTATGTTCTTCAAAGATCAGCAAACAGGGGCACCTGGGTGGCTCAGATGGTTGGGCAGCTGCCTTCGGCTCAGGTCATGACCTCCGGGTCCTGGGATCGAGCCCCCGCGTCAGGCTCTGCTCAATGGGGAGTCAGCTTCTCCCTCTCCCTCTTCCTCTCTCCTCCACTTGTGCTCTCTCTGTCTCTCAAATGAAAAAATAAAATCTAAAAAAAAAAAAAAAATCAGCAAGCAACTTAATCTAAATTGTCCCACTTGCCTGTGAAGCAAAATGCCTCAAAACAGGTTTCCATGAGCAACCTGGGAGTGTACTTACACCAACTTTTTCCTTTTCAGACCACGGCCATTGAAGACCCTGCATCAAAAATGCAAGCTCAGTCACCAGTGGTCATTGTGACTCAGCCTGGATGTGGTCCCGTGGCCCAAACCTCCAACTGGCAGACAGGCATGTGTGATTGCTTCAGCGACTGTGGAGTCTGTAAGTGCTGGGAAATGCCCCCATAAATGCCGTGGAGGTGAAGGACCAAAGGCCAAAGCTTTCCCTCATTCCTCCCTTATGGTGTAGTAAAGGTTCCCTGCCTATTACAGGGCACCTGGCATGTCAGGCAATGAATAGTAAGTGAAGAAAAATGGCTTGTGCTGATTATAGCTAATTTTTCTCCAGCACATCAATCAATAGACTTACTTCTAAGAGAAGTTCTGGAATTAAGATGATATTAATGAAGCTGATGATTCTCAAAACCAATGGGTCTGACCTAATGATTATAAATAGACCACACATTAAAATAAAAGAGACATTTCCATTGATTTAAAAAAAAAAAAGAAAAAAGACTCTCCTTACATATGTAAACTCATTACTTTAGAGTTACATTGTGCCCGGCACACAAGACATAGTATTCATCCATGGTTTCAACATGAACTCAGCAAAGAGCTATTTAAATTTATACATTTAGGTTTTTATATAGCTGAGAATAAAGAATTCTAAAGGCAGTCAGCTTCTCATCAGGAAAAGAATCTCTAACTCTACTTTGTTTCCTTTTTGTGAGATCTCTCCAAATAAAGTTGGGGAAAGTAAGTTCAGGGATGGGATGGTGGTGTCAGAGAGGACCAAAGAGCTTAGTGCTCAACACCAAACAAGAAACAAACAAACCTGCTTACAAAAAAATTTGCTTTGAGGTTTATTTGCCTGCCTCAAGTCTGCAGAGTGTTCTGAGACAAGGAAAGAAAATACATTAACCTTACCAGTGAAATTGAAATTTGGAATCAAGTTGACCCCTGAGCAACATAGGTTTGAACTGTACTGGTCCACTTATATGCAGATTTTTTTTAACAGTCCAGCACTATAAAAGAATCTTCTCTTCCTTATGCATTTCTTAACATTTTCTTTTCTCTAGCTTACTTTATTGTGAGAATACAGTATATGATACATATAACAACAAAACATGGATTAGTAAACTGTTTATGTTATCAATAAGGCTTCCGGTCAAGGGTAAGCTATTAGTACTTACGTTGGGGGGGATTCAAAAGTTACACACAGATTTTTTTGACTGCGCAGGTGGTCGGTGCTCCCAAACCCCCACATTGTCCAAAGGTCAACTGTACATTAAAAAGCACAGAGAAAAGATTACCTAGAAAATGGAACGATGGGTTTGTTCATTGGCTCTCATTGTCTTACTGGATGACCTGGGGTGATGACTTACACATCTCAAGATATTAGTTCAACAGCTGCAAATCTTAGTAATACTAAGACTGACTACATTACTAAAACCCTCTAAAGATGAATAGTTTAATCCTCCAGCCCTTTGCATTGTCACTCAAATAAGTGAATTACAAGTTTTAATATAAGCTTAATTGCTTCATGGCAGGACTCCTTAATTGCTGCCCTGACCAAATCATTCTCCCTTCTTAAAATATTTCAGTGGTTCCTCATAACTTTCATGACCAACTCCATGCACTCACACTTTGTCATCCAGTCCCCAACGTGCCTCACCCTTCAGCTTTACCCCCGTCCAGTCTAGCCACACTGAATGAACACCAGCCATTGCCAAGACATGCCAAGTGATCTCAGAGACACTCGGCTCCCTTTTGTCTACCTGCCAAATTCTACTCATCTGTCAATATTCCGCTCAAGCAGCATATCCTTCCCAGAGCCTTTTGAGGCCTCATTTCTGTGGGTGACCTCTTGACATCTTGAGTAGATTTCCGTTGGAGAATTTTTCATTTTATTATCTGACTGCCCTCCTAGACAGAGGCAGTCAGTTCTGGGGACAATCTGTGGGACATGGCTGGGTCTCAGTGAGGCATTCAATAGATGAAGGAAGGCAGGACTACCAAAAGGATGCACACTTGCCAAGCTGTGGTGATTCTTGAAATGACTGGGTGGGGAGAAGGGAGAAGCCCATGTAATGCCAAGCAAAAGCATCGCAGACAGCCTTGGCAGCAAGATGTGTGGCAAACACCCCATGATTGGGACTGCTGTTTGTGAAAGCAAACTAGCTTCCAAAGGTGACAAGAACAGAGTGGAGTAACTCGTGCCTCTGGCTTCATGTGTCCAGGTCTCTGTGGCACATTTTGTTTCATGTGCCTTGCATGTCAAGTTGCAGCTGACATGAATGAATGCTGTCTGTGTGGGACATCCGTCGCAATGAGGACCCTCTACCGGACCCGATATGGCATCCCTGTGAGTCTCTTACAACACTGTATCATTCAGACATGCCCCCACTTTCAAAATCATCATTATAAACCTGCAAACCATTTGATGGTGTCCATCACCTGAATTTGATTGGTAGGTCTTTCCTAGCATGTGCAACTTTGTATTCAGTTGCTGTAGCAATAGGTCCCCTTGGTTATGTGACCTCCTTCTAGGTTTCTGTTAAAGACCTTAGAACATAGGCAACTCTCATATTTGCACTGTGTATCATACAATGGGCGGGGATTATTCAGAATCTAGCATGCCCCAAGTACATGACAGAGGACACCTCACTGAATCCTCACACCCTCCCTGTAAAGTGAGTAGGTCCACATTGTACAGATGAGGACTTTAAAGTTTTAAGGGGTGGAGTAACTCACCCAAAAACACGCACTAGAAGTAGAAGTTGTCAATATTCAACCCTGTCTTTCCATGAACGCACATTCCGATACGTCACAAGCTGCACCTCGTGTGACAGGAGCTTGTGTCCGTCAGGACTTGCCAGGGAAAATCGCTTCTCGGCCTTTTGGCTAAGATCAAGTGTAGGACTTGCCAGGGAAACACAACCAAAAAGAGATATAGATGACACAGACATAGGTAAATATAGACCCATCTAAAGAGACTTTGAGGAATAGGTTCACATGATTGTGAGCGTTGGCAAGTCCAAAAATGCAGAGTAGGCTGGCAGGCTAGGGAGAGTTGCCGCTCGGGTCTGAAGGCAGCCTGCCAGCAGAATTTCTTCTTGCTCTGGGGAAGTCCATCTTTTCCTATTAAGACCTTCGATGGATTGGATGAAGCCTACCCACACTACAGAGGATAATCTACTTCGCTCAGCATCCACTGATTTAAATGTTACTCTCATCTAAAGAGTCTTCAAAGAAACATCTAGAATATATGGGTACCATGGCCTAGCTAAGTTGGCACATAAAATTAAGCACCACAGGGAACAAATAAATAGGCAGAATATATTAAGAACTTATTTTATTCCACTGAAATTATTTTTTTTTCATTTAAAGATATTTCTTAGTTCTTTAATTACAAAAATAATACATGCTATATACCTAATTTTATGACAAATTCAAACACAGAATTATGGAAAGTAAAAAATGAAAATCTCACCCCTTTACACACAGTTCCACTACTCAGCTACAAACTCTATTAATAATTTGGTATGCACTCTTTCAGGTTTTTTCTATGCTTATAAGGTATACAGATATAGATTAGATGGAGCTAGAGCTATGGATGTAGACATATGGGGCCGGAGGTTTGCAGGGCTCTTTTGATTTGTGTTTATCTTTTAAAATAGGGTCCTACTATACTACAACTTTTTTTTCCACGTGACATTTGGTAGACCCCTTTTGTGTCTGTAACACAGATCCTTTTTAATGTGTTCATAGTATTCCACCATACAGATAACTTACTTAACCACTTTCTTACTGATGAAACGTTAAGTAGTATTGTAGATTAAGTAGTTGTTAGGACATATAATTCTGTATATGCACTGGTACTTTTGTACAATAGTGTCCGACATTAGAGTGATAGATCGCAATGTATGCACATTCAAAATTTGAAAGATACCATCAAATACCCCTCCAAAAGGATTATATCAATTTATAATCCATTAACATTATATGTGTGTCCCATATTGGGTAATATTTTTTATGTTGCCAGAGAGGCAAAATGGTATTTGATTGTTGTTTTAGTTTAAGTTTTATTAGTTAAGATCAAACAACTTTTTAAAACTATTTTGTCCCTGGGGCGCCTAAGTGGCTCAGTTGGTTAAGTGGCTGCCTTCGGCTCAGGTCATGATCCCAGGGTCCTGGGATCGAGTACCGCATCAGGCTCCCTGCTCAGCGGGAAGCCTGCTTTTCCCTCTCCCTCTGCCTGCCACTCCCTCTGCTTGTGCTCTCTCTCTCTCTGGCAAAGAAATAAAATCTTTAAAAAAAAAAAAACAAAAAACTAGGGGCACCTGGGTGGCTCAGTTGTTAAGCGTCTGCCTTCGGCTTGGGTCATGGTCCCGGGGTCCTGGGATCGAGCCCGGCGTCAGGCTCCCTGCTCGGCGAGAAGCCTGCTTCTCCCTCTCTCACTCCCCCCTGCTTGTGTTCCCTCTCTCGCTGTGTCTCTCTCTGTCAAATAAATAAAATAAAATCTTTAAAAAAAATAAAAATTAAAAAGTTAAAAATTAAAATTAAAATTAAAAAAACTATTTCGTCCCTTTGCATGGCTTTTATAAATTACCCGTACATATCCTTTGTTCATTGTTTTACTGGGTTGTTTGCCTTTTCTTATTGATTTGTGGGAGCTCTTTATTTAATTGTGCTATATTGGAACACCTGGGTGGCTCAGTTGGTTAAGCATCTGCCTTCGGTTCAGGTCATGATCCCAGGGTCCTGGGATTGAGTCCCGCATCGGGCTCCCTGCTCAGCAGGAAGCCTGCTTCTCCCTCTGCCTGTCGCTCCCCCTGCTTGTGTTCTTGCTCTCTCTTTTTCTCTGACAAATAAATAAAATCTTTTAAAAAATAAAAAAAAGTGACTATATTGTTTAACATGAAAGTTATCAAGTTTTTTAAAGGTCTAGTCCATAATCAGTTTTTCTAAATGCTTTTCAGGTATTTGAAAAATGAATAACAGTCTGAAAGTAAAACTTCACTTGGTTTTAACAAAATTTAAAAGATTGGAGGGCAGAGGAAGAAATAAGGCATTCTAAAGACCTTATTTTGTATGAGATTGACAAATATAATTTTTCCATTTTTTAAAAAAAGTTTATTGATATATAATTGACTTACAATAAGCTGTATATATTTAGTGTATAATTTGATAAGTTATATACCTGGGATATATACCCATGAAACTATCCTCACAGTCAAGGTAGTGAACATATTCATCACCTCCAAAAGTTACTCACGCCCGTTTGTAATTCTTCCCTCTTTCCCCTCCTTACTTCCCCAACTAATGTTTTCTGTCACTATAGTTTGCATTTTCTGCAGTTTTATATAATGGAACTGTCCAGTCTGTATTCCTTTATCTAGCTTCTTTTAATCAGTATAATTATTTTGAGATCCGTCCAAACTGTTAAGTGTTCTTAACACAATAAATTAGGGGGAAAAGAAAATATTTAGATGGCAAATAAGCACATAAAAAGATGTTCAACATCATTAGTCATTATTAGAGAAATGCAAATGAAAACCGCAATAAGATACCACTATTCAACTATTGGAATGGCTAAAATTAATCAGACTAAACCACACCAAGTGTTGCCAGATATGGAGGAACCGAAACTCTCATGCAATGCTGGTGGGAATGTAAAATGCAGTTTCTTAAAAAGTTAAATGCATCTACCATTTGACCCAGCCATTCTACTCCTAGATATTTGCCCAAAGAAATATATCCATACCAAGACTTGTTTCAAATGTTCAGAGCGGTTTTGCTTGTAACAGCCCCAAACTAAAAACAATCCAGATGTCCACCAGCAGGTGAATGGATAAACGAAGTGTGATATATCCATAAAATGGAATACTACTCAGTAATAAAAAGGAATGAATTACTGATACACACAAAAACCTGAATGAATCTCAAGATGAATAGGATTTTAAATTTTGGGTAAAAATGAAGGGTCCTCACTAATTGGATAAAAATTTGTTGTGGGGGCGCATGGGTGGCTCAGATGGTTAAGCGTCTGCCTTTGGCTCGGGTCGTGATCCCAGGGTCCTGGGATCGAGTCCCGCATCAGGCTCCCTGCTCCTTGGGAGCCTGCTTCTCCCTCTGCTTCTCTCTCTCTCTCTCCCTCTCTCTCTCTCCTCCTCTGTCTTTCATGAATAAATAAGTAAAATCTTTAAAAAAAAAAATTTGTTGTGGGACATCTCTAGGGAATAAAAGCAATCAGGAAAGACCTATGCAACAACAAGAAGAAAAGAAGTTAAAAAAAAAAAGCAGGGGGGTGTATGGGGATGCCTGGGTGGCTCAGTTGGTTAAGCGGCTGCCTTCGGCTCAGGTCATGATCTCAGGGTCCTGGGATCGAGCCCCACATCAGGCTCCCAGCTCAGTGGGAAGCCTGCTCCTCCCTCTCCCTCTGCTTGCCACTACCCCTGCTTGAGCTCTCTCTCTCAAATAAATAAAATAAAATAATCAGTGAATACCAAACATAAAACAATTTGGCTATCTCATGAGTGAGAGCAATTTAGATTTCTCTGCTGGGACAAAATGTCTTTACCCTTTATTCTTTCTTCCAGTATGTCTGTGTTAAGTCTTAGGGAGTCTGATCTCTTAGAAGATAGGTGAAGAACTGCCCCCACCTAGCCCCGTCCTCTCCTAGGACCCCAAAGCCCACCCCAGGGTCCTCTGTTAAATTCACCTGCCTGCTGTATCCTGGGGCGAAGCCACAGCTTGGCAATGTGGGGCTGGCCCGGCTGCTCAGGCAGTCTTCAGTGAACCTCCTGCCTTCCATTCCCCAGCCTGTTCGTCCTTTCTGAGTTCCAGGTTTCTGAGTTCGGGATTTATCAAATGCCCTGCCCATGACCCTGTTAGAGGTTTCTGCATCCCTAGCTCTGTTCTACTTTCTCCATCAGTGTAATCCCATCTGCTCCCGATTTCCAAAAAACTGCTCAAAATTCCTGGCCCACTAAATGACCCCATTCCTGTTTTCTAGTATAGCTTTAATTTATTTACCAAAGCTCTGCAAGCACATAGCTTAATTTTAGATTATCTAATTATTGTTAAGAAAAGTAGTAGTCCACAAACTTCTCTCTCCTACCACCTCCTCCCCAGAGCTCTGTACGTATTTTCCTCCATATCTCCAAATCATAGACTTGTATGGCAACTTTTTGAGTTTTCCATTTGGGGCATTGTCTTTAGACCTCCCACTATAAACGATGAGAATGTAGTTCTGTTTTGTTCTCCTTCCCTGCCACAAACATGCACCCTCTCCCCACCCCACTTCTTCCAAAATAAGTATATGTAATTTGGGTTAAATCCATATTTGCTACTTACGTTATGAGACCTATGTTTGCTCTTCCGAGTTGAGTCATGTAGTGAACTATGATTGCTTTTTCCGCCAGACTTTGTTTTTCCTGGTCTTAATAATTCTTGGCGTTTTAATTAGTAATTTTCCACTCTCTGACGAGTCGTTTTCCACTTACTTTAACCCCCAAACTCTCCCAGTTTTCTAAGTCTCTTTCCAACATATTCAACGTATCAGACATGCTACCATTTTTATCTTGTCAACGAAATCACTCCCTGACCTACAACTACCCTTGGAACTAATTGCTCTTCATTTGTGGTGCCTAACTCTCTTACCCTGGGATCTCCTTCACCATCACCCTGGAGATTCCATTAGAGTCTCTCCTGTGTTAGGCTCCTGTTTCTTATATTCCACATCTTCCTCTTTCTTGGTTTCCTCCCTCGTTGCAGGTGGAGATATCCTCTAATAGCTTCCTGAGACAGGGAAGTGGTGTGGAAGAAAAGAATTTTGAGGTTTTACTTTCTGAAACTCTCTGTTTTTCCCTCATACTGACAGTTTGGTTGATTGATATCTTCTATATTCAATATTACAAAGTACAGGAAAACATTTAATGTCATAAAAAGAGGAGTGATATGGAAAAATCAGTTAACATTTTCCTAAATGTATCCATCCAAACTCTGAATTCAATGGATCAGTGCCTTCTGCTTTTCTTCAACGTGTCTTAAAAATCCATAAGTCTTACTTTCCAAACAGGTGGATTTTAAATTTCTATTTCTTTTATATTTTCAAACAGGGCTCCATTTGTGATGACTATATGGTGACGCTTTGCTGTCCTCACTGTTCTCTTTGCCAAATCAAGAGAGACATCAACAGAAGGAGAGCCATGCGTACTTTCTAAAAAAACTAATGGTAGGTCCCAGAATCTGGGTTTTGTTTGAAACATAATAAGGGCTTTGTAAATTATGCATTATTTTGAGTAATAATTTAAAATAACAATTCCTTAAGTCTTTCAAATGTTATCTTAATATAAAGATTGATTCTGGTTTCTTCTTATGAAGAAGATAGCTGCATTACATTACTTGGGCCGCCGTAACAATTTACCATAGCCTGGATGGCTTACACAATAAGAATTTGTTTCTCACAGTTATGAAGACTGGGAAGGTCAAGATCAAGGTGTGGGCCAATTCAGTTCCTGTGAGGGCTCTCCTTCCTAGATTACAGATGGCTACCTTTTCACTGTGTCTTCAAATGGTGGAGAGAGAGTAAACTCAAGTCTCTCTTATGAAAAGAGCAATCCCATGGTGGGGGGCTCATCTTCATGACCTTATTTCAAACCTAATTATATCCCAAAGGCTCTACCTCCTTATACCATCACAGTGGGGGTTAGGGTTTCAACATACGAGTTTTGCAGGGGGCACAGACATTCAGTCCACAACAATTAGCTTTATAATTTGAAACCTTATTTTAGTAAATAAAGGGATGGTGATTTTTCTAGACTTCCAAAATTCTCTTTATCCATTAATGAGGCACTTACCACTTGTAAAATGCCAGAGTGTGGTGAGATACAAAAGAAGTAGAAAACATGCCCCCTACTAAGACAATCAAATCGACAAAAGAAATTGGCAAATAACTATAAATAGTAGAGCAAATGAAAATTACATGTTATGTAACATTTGAATTGATTGCAGCATAAAGCATCTATCAAGAATGAGGGAAGATTATACAGGAAGATCCTATTGAAAAAAGTGAACTCTGAAAGCGGTAGATATAGAATATTTGGAAATGTTATATAGAATCTGAACTTCTGAAAATCAATCAAATCATTTCCAACTAATTTTTCCAGTATTCTCAGAATTAGCTATTAAGTAGAAGTAAACATGATTTTGTCAGTCTCCCATAGAATTTATCCTGAGTATGGGAAGGAAGCATTAATTTTTCCATTCTTTGTAATATGCCACTTCCTTTTTCAAGCGAATGAGAATCCTGCATAGGTTAACAAATATAACTTGTGGAGGATATATTTTAAAATGTCATTTATTTAGCAAATAATATATCAAGTACCCAGTCCTACGCAGGACAATGCTAGGTGCTGTGGGGAGCAAAAATAAATAAGCTGGCCCTCTTGTCGTTAGAGACTTTATACTCTAAAAGAGAAGATTAGGCAGCCTTTAAAGCTTCTAGGAAGCCTTCTAGGCTTCCTACTGTTTGAACCCACTGGTTGGCAGCGGGCAGGAAAGTGTTGCTGTAGTCTATAGGTCAGACTCCCAGGACACACAGCAGGGCAAACAAGGATGGAAATGGATCAGATGGGGCGAACATAAAATCTCAGACACGAGATGTGACTTTAATTAATAGAAATGGATACTGCTTCTAATCAGCAACAACATTAGTGAAACTATAGAGGCAGAAAAAAGGAAAAACATCTTTACGAGCTTAGGTCCATCCAACTTGGCAGGAACATATAAGTAGGAAAATAATGAGAAAAGAAAGACTTTAAAAGTGAGTTGGGGCCATGGCATGCAATATAATGAAATTAGGCTAATGATTTGGCCTTTTATTTGGCAAGCAGTGGGGAGTTAGTGTAGGCTTTGTGTAAGGGAGTAACATAAAGAGAGCTATACTTTAGAAGAATTAATCTGAGAGTGGTATATAGCCAGACAGGACAGGATGAAGTCAGAAGCAAAGATGAAGAGTTGAACAAGTTCAGCCCTGTTTATTTAAATAAATACATGAGACAAGTTGGATAAAATATATATCCACATATACATAATGAATCCTGACATCTGAACTTATTTTTTTTTAACCTCAGAGAAATTATCTTACTGAATCTTTGAATTGGTTTGAAGTAAAGTACCTTGGTGATCCTGACTCTGGTGCATCACCTTGAACCCAACATTCATCAACAGTGAAACTTTAGATATACAAATACCTGAAGTGGGAGAATCAAGAGACAAAGATCAAAGAATAACATGATTTATGTTAAAAATAGGTTGAGGGGCACCTGGATGGCTCAGTCAGTTAAGCATCTGACTTCAGCTCAGGCCATGATCTCAGGGACCTGGGATCCAGCCTGGTGTCGGACTTCCCCTCCCTCAGTGGGGAGTCTTCTTGTCTCTTTCTCTTGGGCCCTCCCTGCCCTCCCCCGGATGGTGCTCTCTCTGTCTCTCTCTCAAATAAATAAATTTTAAAAAATAAATAGGTTGAAAGAAAGGGACATAGGAACCAGCGGAAAAAGCTCCAAATTGTGAACACTGGAACACTTGGAGGAACAAAGTAATTTTAGATTATAAATGAAATTTTTAGAAAAGATTATAACCAAAATAAAATATCTGTGAGTCCATACTTATATAAATACATGATTAAACAAACAAACAAATAAATAAACACATGGGGGAGAAGAGACAAATTTTCCAGAAGTTCAGAAGAATTCCAAAAAGGTGTGTATTCCTCCCTCAAGGAGATGGAGCATAACTGCCCACCCCTTAAGAGTGGGTTTGTACAGTGACGTCCTTTCCAAGAGTATAGTATGAAAAAGGGAAAAAAAGAGTGAATCTTTATAGTAGAGAAACCTGACAAGACAATTTCAGCCAGGTGACCAAAGGGAACCTCATCAGTGATAGGTATTCTGCAAAACCTGACCAGTAGTCGTCAAAACTGTCAAGGTCATCACAAACAGGGAAAGTTTGAGTAACAATCACAGTGTAGAGGAACCTATGGAAACATGATGACTAAATGTAATGTGCTATCCTGGATGGGATCCCGGAACAGAAAAAAGACATTAGGTAAAAACTAGAAATCGAACTCAAGTGTATGCTTTGATTAATAATATGATGTATTAACATTGGTTCATTGGTTGTAACAAACCTACCTTAGTAGGATGTTAACTGAGGGAAATTGGTGCAGGGTATATGGGAACTCTCTGTACTCTCTTTGCAATTTTTCTGTAAACCTACAATGATTCTAAAATTTAAAGTTTATTCAAAATAAAAACATAGATTAAGAAAATTCAAACCTATTCTTTGTGTGTCCCTCATAGGTGAAAAGCTCTTATTGAAGCAACTGAAGTTAGCAGACACCCTTCAGCTTGAGTCCTCCTCTGCGTTTTGCAACTGAAATATGATAGATCTGTTTAAGCACAATCGATGGGGTAAAAAAAATGGAATTTTGATGTATTTTAAATGAATGTTTTCCCTTAGTTTTGCTAAATGGTCCAGCTTAGTTTCTCCTTGCTTTCATATTATTAAATTTTCTGGCTTATGAATTTTGTGTTACACTTGGCATGTGAACAAAATAAAAGATTTTACTAACAAGATTTTTTGTGCTTCTTTTGTTCTCAATGTCTTTATGTCATTAATTTTAAGGGTCAGTCTCATACTTTTGTTCTGATAATTTGGTTTCTTCACAGGAAATTTTGGTCCACGGCAACTCAGTTCTCTTTCATCTAAGAACTTGGAGACAGAAAAAAAGACTACAGATAACTATTATAAGACACTTATAATACTAATTTAGCCAATGCTTTTGCTCCTTATTATCTATAAGGATTATTAATGCTGACAAAACAACAGCACAATATGCCCTGCTTCCTAGCTGCATACCTGACAGGTTTGTTGTGTTGATACTCTTTCTCTTCTCAATACGAAATATCAGGACAGGTAATAAAAATACAGTGCTAAAATTCAGTATGACCCAGTTGTGATGAAATATTGGTGATAAATGCATGAAGCAACATTTTTTTCACATTTATTATTCTATGTGTTCCACATGCATCATTTTGCCCTGATGAAAATCTCACTCCCCAGTTTCCTTTGGTTCTCTTCCTACCCTTGAATCCATTTCATTTGTTGGGATGGGGTAAAGGGGAGGCAAAACCACTGGATAGGTTTATTGGGAAGTTTCAGAGAGAGCAAATATAAAGGCCCCTGGACCTTACTAGGCACTCAGCAGGCTTGAGTGCTCTACCCCTTCTTTTCCTTGCCTCATGGATTTAGATGCTTTGCAAGGTTCTGTCTGGGATCGGCTCTTTTCATACCTCCTGTTCTTCTTAGTGTCATCTACTCGTATGGCTTCAACTGCCTCCTAGATGTCAGGGAGGACTGTATTTCCAGTCTCCCTCTTACTACTGATGTTCTGAATGACTCTTCAGCTGCCTACTAACCAAGTCCATCTGGATGTCCCCTAGGCCTTCTCTACCACACATGTCAAACAATATCACCTCTTACTCAGTTGTTCAAGATGAGAAATCTAAGTATCAATGAGTATCAATGAGTCCTGACTTGACTAATCACACCCTTCTCCCTTCTCCTCACATCTAATCAGACACTGGCTTCTGTCACTTAAACTCCACTTGATACCCTCAATGGATGATCTATTTTGCTTGTTGCTATTTCCCCAGTGCCTGGAACAATGCCCGATATCTACTAGATACCTACTCAAATCATTTATTGAATGAATCAATCTGTGCTCTTTGTCTTCATTGCCATGATCTTTGGAAAGTCAAGGTACATAGCTCCTGAACTAGTCGGCCTGCCTCTAGTAACTCCAGCTCCTGTTACCTTCTTTCCAATCCATCTTATAGACTGCCTGCCACAAGTTCAATGGTGAAGATTCTAAAAAAAAGACCCCAAATTTTCCCTGGCCCCTCATAATATAGCCTCAGTTTACCTCTTTAGCCTATTCTCCTGTCACTTCCTCACTCTAAAAATTCCCTACTTTCACGACCTTCCACACACATACATTTTTTAAAATTTCAAATTCCAACTGTTCATTGAGGTAATAAAGCAAAATAGGGGGGAAAAAAGATGTGTTTTATGACTCAGGATGTGGTCTATCTTCGTGAATGTTCCATGTGAGATTAGGAAAAATAAATACTCTGCAGTTGTCGGATGAAGTAGTCTATAGATGTCAATTAGATCCCATTGACTGATGGCGCTGATGAGTTCAACTATGTCCTTACCGATTTTCTGCCTGTTGGATCTGTCAATTGCTAATAAGGGGGTGCTGAAGTCTCTAAATCTAACAGTGGATTCATCTATTTGTCCTTGCTGTCCTATCAGTTTTTGCCTCATGCATTTTAATGCTGTTATTGATGCTCTGGTTTTGAGCATTTCATGATTCCATTTTCTCCCTTCTCTGTTAGCATATCAACTGTATATATATTTTAAATTTTTGTAAGTTACCTTCCAGTTTGCAATGTACGTTTACAACTCATCTAAGTCCATGTTTAAACACTATACTGTTTCATGGGTAGTAAGCAATCTTATAAAAGAATATTTCCAATTTCTGCCTCCCATTATTGCTGTCATTCATTGTATTTATCCATATGCTATAAACATTAAAAAATTGTTGCTATTATTTTGAACAAAGTCATCTATTAGACCAATTAAAATTTTTTAAAAAGATTTTATTTTACCTTCATCTTTTTGTTTTCCAATGCATGTCCTTTATCCGAGTTTCTAACCCATGCCATTTCCTTCACTCTGAAGAACTTTTAGCACTTCTTTTAAGGCAAGTCTCCGGCAAATTTCTTCAGTTTTTGCTGACTCTTCGTCTTTCACTTTTAAAGGATAATTTTGCTGGATAATATCCTCTGTTGGCGTTTTTTCTTTCAACGTCTTAAATATCTACACTCTGCTCTTGCTTGCATGGTTTCTGATGAGAAATCCAATATCATTCTTACTCGTGCTTCTTTATAGAAAAGGTGTTTTGGGGGCGCTTGGGTGGCACAGTTGAGTGATCAACTTTTGATTTTGGCTCAAGTCCTGATCTCAGAGTTGTGAGATAAAGCCCTGCATCAGGCTCCATGCTCAGCACAGAGTCTGCTTGGGACTCTCTCTCCCTCTCCCTCTGCCCCCTCACTGTGCTCTCTCTCTAAAAACAGAACAAAACAAAACAAAACAAGGTATTTTTTCCCCTAGCTTTTTTTTTAAAGACTTTTTGTCCATGTTTTCTACAGTTTAAATATGATATGCTCAGGTGTAGATGTTTTTCATATTCATCATACTTGCTCTTTTCTATGCTTCCTGGACCTGTGGTTTGGTGTCCATCATTAATTTTGGAAAATAGCCATTATTATTGCAAATCTCTCTTCTGTTCCTTTCTTCTCCTGATATTTCCATTATACCTATGTTATAGCTTATATAATTGGCCCACAGTTGTTGGATAGTTTGGTTTTTTTTTTCTGTTTGCATTTCAGTTTGGGAAGTTTTTACCGACATATTTTCAAGCTCACTGATCTTTCTTCAGGTGTGTTCAGTCTGATGATTAGTCCATCAAAGGCATCTCCATTTCTGTTAGGGTGTTTTATTTCTAGCATTTCTTTTTAATTCTTAGAGTTTTCATCTCTCTACTTACATTACCCATCTGTTTTTGGATGTTGCCTACTTTTTCCACTAAACACCCTTAGCAAATTAAGCACAGCTGTTTTAAATTCTTGGTCTGATTAGTTCAAACATCCCTGCCATACCCATCTGATTCTGATGCTGGATTTGTCTCTTCAAATGGTATTTTTGGGGACATCTGGGTGGCTCAGTCAGTTAAGCATCCGACCCTTGATTTCCGCTCAGGTCATGATCTCAGGTGTGTGAGATTGAGCCCGGCATTGGGCTCCGTCTGCCCCAGGGAATGAAGCCTACTTAAGATTCTCTCTTTCCCTCTGACCCTCACCATACCCTCTAAAACAGTAACAACAAGAAAACAAATTGTTTTTGTTTGTTTGCTTTTTCATTATGTTTTGTAGGTTTTTTTTGGTTGAAAGCCAGACATGATGTTTCAGGTAAACAGGAAATGAGGAAATTAGGCTTTCAGTGTGGGGTTTTATGTTAATCCAGGTAGGTTTGCTATAGTTGTGTAGACTTGTTTCCTCTTTTCCTTGTTTTTATTCTTCCCTGTTGTACTGTCTCCCTGAGAATACTTTCTTAAAAAGTGTGTCCTATCACTCTCAAATTCCACTATTATGACACTGGAGCCCCGTTTGATGTAAAGGATTTGGGAAGTACTGTATAATCTTATGATTCTAAATCTGTTTATACTTACCCTGAGTCCCTGGGCTGTGACCTTCAGAAGTGTTTCTTAGAGTTTTTTTTCCCTCCTCTTACGTGACACAAGAAGGCTACAGGGGGCTAGAATGGTCTAACTGCTCTTGCCCCAGGCTGGATGAGGCTCTGGTAATGTGGTTGGTTTTCTTTAGAGGGCCGGCCTTTGTCATGGAAGATGACCCAGGTGTATTTCAAAATAGTTACTTTCCCTTCCCCTGTCCTGCCTGAAACACAGAGGATCCTGATCTCAATCCTGAGAACTTGATGGGGTTCCTGTGGATAAATCCTAGGGAGTGCAGAGCCTCCCCTAAGAGTGGGCCCTCAGTGGGTTTTAACTGTCAAGCTAGTTTACACTCAGCCTCCAGTAACTTGTCAAAGTTACCATTTCACTGTTCCTATCAGTTACTGCTCCAGTAGCTTCTGCTCCCAGTAAGCTCGCTCAACTGCGAGTCTGTCTTTCGAGTTTTTGCGGTAGTTTGCCCTGTGACCTCAATTCTCTGGTAGAAATATGAAAAGCCATCGATTTCCAGCCTATTCAGCCTTTTTCTTATCGTGAGGATGGAGTAATGACTTCCAGGCCCTTCACATGTCGGAGCGGAAACTGGAAGTTTCCTACAAACTTGTTTTTAGTTCTTTCCCGATTTTCTCTATCAAGCTGGCCTGAAATAACCCTCTCTGAGGAACCTTCCCAGACCTGTCTCTAAGAAATGAAAAGCTCCTTCCTATGCGCTCCAGAGCTTGGCGCAACTACAAGTATCCCCCATGCTGGCTACTGGCTCTGTGACCGACTGGCTGGAGAACAGGCGACATGGCACAGCTTTGCGGTTCTAGCACATGGTATAAATCAATGTCCAGTGAAATGAAAGGAAAAACGAACAAAACACTGTTCGCTAATTAAAAACAAAGTACTACTTTTATTTGGCTCACTTCTCCATTTATTAGAATTACCACGTTTGGAGAGGCACGAAGCACTTTAACGTTTTACATGACTACAAAGTTATCACAAATCCCAAACCTTTTAGCCACGGATACTTCCCTTACACCGTTTAAAGAAAAAGCTTTCAGAACATCTGAGTTAGCTTGAGACACAGAGACCCTGAATATATGGGAACTACATATTTTTAAATGCTTGCGCTTCCTGTTCTAACAATGTCTTCTTTAAATGGAATCCAGCATAAAAGGGATTGAAATACATAAGGTCAGATGCAAATGCTTTGGAGAGACCATGAAATTAATCTGTACAACATCGTAAAAGCTGTTGTGTGCACAGAGCCCTGCAAGCATTCACTGAGCCATCTGCGCTTCCATGGCTTGTGCTGTCCATTCTGGCGCTGTCTGACTAATCTTCTCCAACAGGTTATTCACTTGGAAACAAAGGGACTGGATCTGTTTGTCCCACGTCGGCAGGGCCTCCCGTGCTACACAAAAGAACAAGGTACACAGCTGAACATTACTCCATATATTCATAGCAAGTGTGAGTTAAAAGATAAACACAGTAGTATTAATTTTCAAAAATCTATTCCAAAAAGCTTGGCTAATAAAATTAAGCTAATTCAGGAAAGTAGCCAAATTACTGGCACAAAGCACAAAACCAAAAAACATATCCACACAGATCCATGTTATTATTCATGAAAATAAAACCAACCAAAGTACCTCAATCACAAAAACCACCACAGTAAAAGCCTCACTGAACCGATCTCATCACCAGTTTCTTGATTCATAAGACACTGCCACCTCCTGGAGAAAGCAAATCTCTTTATATAGTCAAGGCTGTCTCTACTGGACTCTCAGGAATGAAGTATTTTAATGTTTAAACAAAAAAACAAAAAAACAAAAAAACTCAACATGAAAACACCAGGATTTGCTCTGCACCAGCAATATGCAATTAGAAATGATAAACCTGAGGGAATATCCCATTCGAAACAGCACCCAAATTTACAAAAATGGGCATAGAAAAGAAAAACTAAAATAAAACAATTTTAAGAAAGGACATAAAATAATCTGAGTAGACACAAATGAGTCCCAGATGGAAAGATGCAGTATCATAAAAAAAAAGTCCTTCCCTGTTAATATATAAATTTTAAAAAAATTACAAAGATAATCCCCCCTTCCTCTGTTTTGCTTTCTAAACAGGACGAAATTATTAAAGTTAATATGGAAGAATTGATGTTTGAGAATAGGCAAGATGATTTTGAAAATTAAGAACAGTAGCAACACTGTAGTATATCTCTACCGCAGGATAAAGTACCGCTTCCATGCCATGACATGAATGGAACCAGAAAGCACTACATTAAGTGAGAGAAGTCAAAGGTCACATAGTGCACGACTGCATTTCCATGAAGTATCCAGAATAGGTAAGTCCTAAAAAAATTCAGACAGTGGCTGCCAGGGGCTGGGAGAAGGAGGGATGAGGAGCAATTGCTTAATAGGCAGAAGATTTCCTTTTGGGAAGCTGAAAATGTTTTGCAACTAGGTAGAGTTAGTGGTTGCACAACACTGTGAACCTACTAAAGGCCACTGAATTGCTCACTTTAAAGTGGTTCATGTTATGTGAATTTCAACTCAATAAAAACATAGCAGTGGAGGGGTAGGAGATGCTTTTCCAACAGTAAAATTTACTATAAATTTGTTTATTATCATATTGTTACAGATCAGTGGAACTAAACAGATTACAGAAAGAGATCCAAACATGTATGTGGAACCTAGTATTTGTCAAAGATCAGAAAGTATGTTTTACTTAATAAACAGTACTTGCAAATTAGCGCTCCATCTTAAAATTATACACAAAAATGAACTGTAGACAGATTATATTTGTAAACATAAATAAAAATACTAGAAGAAATTTTAGAAAAATATTAGTTTTACCACAAAGTGAATGAGACCTTTTTTTTTTTTTTTTACAGATTTTATTTATTTATTTGACAGAGAGACACAGCAAGAGAGGGAACACAAGCAGGGGGAGTGGGAGAGGGAGAAGCAGGCTTCCCGCCGAGCAGGGAGCCCGATGCGGGGCTTGATCCCAGGACCCTGGGATCATGACCTGAGCTGAAGGCAGGCGCTTAACAACTGAGCCACCCAGGCGCCCTGAATGAGACCTTTTAAATCAATACAGGAAACTAAAAAGCCATAAAATTAAAAACTGACATATTTGGCTGCATAAGAATTTTAAAATGTGTTTATGGTATGCATTGCCTTACTTCAGAGACACAACTGACATGATTTAATAATTTGGTTTTTATTTGTTTTGTTTGCTTGCCTTATGAAAAGATCACAATCATTCTGGCTGTACTATGGCAATTAGACCAGGAAGAGCAACTGCGGACATGAGGGGGCAAAAGCCCAGAAGGTGGGGGAGGTTTCAGAATAGGCTGGTGACAGTAAGAAATGAAGACAAGTATACGGGTTCCAGATGCACCTAGGAGATAAAACTGAAAGGATTCTGGGCAGCAAAGAAGAGGGGTCAATGATAAGGAATTCTGGAGAAAGTGAACAATGCAGCTTTTGGCTGGCTGGTGGGTTGTGGAAGGGAGACAAGGAGGGAAGATAATGAATTCAGTTTGGGATATGTTCATTCTGAGATGCTCAACAAACAAACAGGTGGAAAATACCTAGTAGTCACTTAACACCACTGGGTCTAATTCTCAGAAGAGAATTATACCCTAGAAAGGCAAATATAAGCGTTGTCCACACAGAGATGGCAACTGAATCAATGGGAACAGATGGGATTACCAAGGGGAACAGTAGAGTGAGGAGGAAAAGGCCTGGAGTTAGCCCTAAGCAATATTTATATTAAAAGGCACCACAGAATCTACAAAGATGACTGGAAAAATCGCTGGAAAAGGAGGAGGGAAAGCAGGAGAATGGGGTGAAAGAGATGAAGGAATCAAGACGGTGTGGGTGGTGGGGATAGTTCAAAAAGTCGTAAAGGATCAATGCTACTCAATATGCTGAAAAGTCAAAATGAGGCCTGAAAGATAAAAAGATCCTTGTTAAAATGGGAGAGACCCAAGTATGTTTAAATATTGATGGAAAGAAGCCAACAGAGCAAGAAAGAATGAAAACAGACAAAATAACTGCTAATTTCAAGTTCCTAAAAAATTGTTTTTAAGAGGGAGGGACACCAGTCAGAGAAGGGATCCAAAGCACAAGGAGACCTGGAAAGGGAGACAGAAACCACCTCCAGTATAACACAAAGGAAGAAAAAGATAATCGCATGATATTTAAAATTCAGAAGTTTTATAAATCTGATCAAGAAGTTAATTTAATTTCAAACTGATATTTTTTTCTGTGAAACAGGAAACAAGGTTTGCTGCTGAGTGAAGGAGGAGAAAAGTCTGCGATTTAAGAAAAATGAAATCTGAAATACCCACTGCACAGTAGAAAAAAAGGGTGGATTAGAGAAATGTGTCAATAATCCCAGGTACTGGGGCGCCTGGGTGGCTCGTCATTAAGCATCTGCCTTCGGCTCAGGTCATGATC